AAGCTTTATAAGTTGGGCCTTGGCAATGCGAAGATGACTAAAATCTAGTCTTTGTTCTTAGGAGGCTTGGACTGGTGGGTCTAACTCAGATGTCCTTCCTCTTATTTGTTGATATATCTTACTTTCCCACTGCTCTGCAATGTATTATCATTGAGTAGTTCTGAAATTGATTTTTGATATCCTCCCCAAAACTGTTTAATGCAGACCTGAGTTGTCAGTTTAGTGTGTAATAGTGAACTATAGATTTTTGTGAAATGGATGAAGAACTCAGAAAAATGTAATAACTATGTAGTCCAGGAAGAATTTTGGCTAAATCAGTAAAGAAAGTAGATGTTAAACAAACATCTTATGCCCTTTGAACCTCATCAGCCTCAGGTCTGTATATTAACTGTGGCCACTAGTGTCTGGAGAAAACTTTATTTTATGTTTTTGCCTAAGTAACCTAAAATTCAGGGTTTAGATACAATCATGATTTTTGCCCTGAAGCTGTGGTAAAACATGCATATTGGAATCCTTGTGGGGTGTGGAATTTAGACACTGTGATGATGTGATTCTTAATGTGTTCACTAGGCCTCGGCACCTTGAATACTGAATCTCACATTTCTGTGTACTCTGTTGCTCTACAGAAGGAACAGTTTCAGAAATCTCTTTTTATCTCCTTTGGAGTCTTCCTTGAGTAGTTTCAAGAGTTCTCCTCCCACTGCACCAGTCATTTAGAGATGAAGGCAGTACAAGTTTCCTCAAAACCATCATGATCTGCTGCTCTTGCTGTCAGTTTCGGTATCAGAATGATGGACGACTTGCTTCGGTGTGGGATAATGCAGGGGTTGACAGACTGCTGCTGGCCACCTATTTTTGTAAGGCTCATGAGCTATACAGAATGATTTTTATATTTGTAAATGGTTGAAAAGATCAGAAGAGTAATGTTTAATAACATGGAAATTATATGAAATTCATATTTCAGTGTCCATAAAGTTTTGTTTTGTTTTTTAAAACCCAGATCCACCCATTCATTTACCTTTTGTCTCTGCTTTCATTTTACAAAGCAGACTTGCCTAGTGGCGACAGAGACCAGCAAGACTGAAAATATTTGCTATCTGCCCCTCTACAGAAAAGTTTGCTGACTCCCAATACAGTGCATGACAGGGTGGAAAGAAAGAATAAACCTAAAACTGTGAGGAGTGCTTCCACAAAAACAAAGGCGGTGTTAAGAGTAGTCATTGGTGTGGGTGGAGAGCCAGGGGAATTGTGCTGATGACCCTAAGAAATGGTTGTATGGCCCCAGATGTTGAATTAATAAGTATGGGGCTCTTTCCTGTATTTGTCTCTGGTTCCTGAATTTAGCAATAGCTTTTCTGTAACAAGGGCTCCCAGAGTTTGTAGGTTTGCAATGTGTATGAATCCCTTTCTCTTTTGAGTCATTTGTCTTCCCATCTTTTCAAAAATACGCATTCAGGCCAGATATTAAGTAGTATTTTACTTAGTGCAGAGTACTGTATTGCCTGGAATGTTAAGTGTGTGAACAGTAAACATTTGTGTGTTTGATGGGGGAATATTTTGAAAGCAGTTCAGCGGAGTCATTTCTAATTTACCAGGAACATGCTTGCTGTCAATTAGATATGTTGGTCAGTTTTTTATAAATGAAACTTCCTCTTTTTTTTCTCTTCTTTTGAAACTTCTGACATACTAATAATTTGATCCTTTTATTTTTTAAAAAAAAAGATTTTATTTATTTGAGAGAAAGAGAGAGCAAGCAAAAGTGAGGGGCAGAGGGAGAGGGGGAAGCAGACTCCCTACTGAGCAGGGAGCCCAATGTGGGGCTTGATCCCAGGACCCTGAGATCATGACCTGAGCTGAAGGCAGACGCTTAACTGACTGAGCCACCCAGGCGCCCCTGATTCTTTTAATATCTGTGATTTTTGTTCTCAAAAGAACCCAGTGGTCATTAGGAACCTTTTAAAACTTGATGGAGATATTAGTCTAATGATTTTGTGGGGTAAAATAAAAGGCATTAGTCTGTGATGAATAGGTTTATGATTTAATCCCTCTAAGCATCTATAGGAGTCTTTCACATTTTTGTGAACAAGAAGAACTTTGATCTGAACAAGGGTGCTGTTAGGTAGATTGTTACTAATGTGAGTAACTATGTTCACAGATATGCCTAAGGATATATCCTTTAACATTTTTATTAGTGTGGTTACAAAAGTATAGAGTGCATGAAAAATATATTTATGGTTAACAGTAGCTAGGAAGGAAGAATTAGTAATCAAAATTACATTAGTAGTCTAGAATGCTGGGTCCGAACCTAAAAATTAAAATTTAACAGAACATGAAAGCCTTGCCTTTAATTTTTTTAAAACATTTTAAAAATTGGGGCACCTGGATGACTCAGTTGGTTAAGCGTGCAACTCTTGGTTTCTGCTCAGGTCGTGATCTCAGGATGGTGGGATTGAGCATCGTGTAGCACTCTGTGCTCAGTGTGGAGTCTGCTTGGAATTCCCTCTCCCTCTCCCTCTGCCCCTTCCCTGTGCACTCTCTCTCTCTCTCTCTCTCTCTCAAATAAGTCTTTAAAAACCAAACAAACAAAAACCGTATTTTAAAAATATGAGGATGCTGGCTTGAAAAAATTCAAAAGGAAAAAGATCTAGATGGTTTATTTACCAGCTCAATATGAAATATGAAAAACCTGTCAGGTTTTTTTTAAAAGCAAATATTAGGTTGTATTGTACCAAGATGAACAAAATAATAATGATGTAACCCTTTGATCTGATTATACTTGGGGGAGTTGCTTCAGATTTGGTTGACACAATCTTATCAGCAGTTCTGATGAGCTGTAATAATGACAAAGTGTTCAAAACCTTCATGGGGATGAGGAATGATTGAAATTGGAAAAAGGAGGGGCACCTGGGTGACTCAGTCGGTTAAGCGTCTGCCTTTGGCTCAGGTCATAATCCCGGGGTCCTGGGTCCTGCCCCTCCCCCCGCCCCACTTGTACTCTCTCTCTCCCTCTCTCTCAAATAAATAAAATCTTAAAAAAAAAAAAAAAAATGGGAGGAGCGCCTGGGTGGCTCAGTCGGTTAAGCGGCTGCCTTCGGCTCAGGTCATGATCCCAGGGTCCTGGGATCGAGCCCTGCATCGGGCTCCCTGCTCAGTGGAGAGCCTGCTTCTCCCTCTCCCTCTACCTGCCGCTCTGCTTACTTGTGCTCTCTCTCTCTGTTAAATAAATAAAAATCTTAAAAAAAAAAAAAAAAATGGGACGAGGGAGCGGCAGTTAACAGATCCTTAGCTTCGGTCAATACCCGACAGATTGGTATTTGAAAGAGAAAGGTCTTTGTGTACTGCTCAGCAAAAGGCCCAGACTTAACAGCCCTTCACTTTAGGCTTGTAATGAAAATCGTATTAAAATAATATGCACCCAGACGATCCAGCAATTGCACTACTGGGTATTTACCCCAAATATACAAATGTAGGGATCCGAAGGGGTACGTGCACCCCGATGTTTATAGCAGCAATATCCACAATAGCCAAACTGTGGAAAGAGCCAAGATGTCCATCGACAGATGAATGGATAAAGAAGATGTGGTCTATATATACAGTGGAATATTATGCAGCCATCAAAAGGAATGAAATCTTGCCATTTGCAATGACGTGGATGGAACTGGAGGGTATTATGCTGAGCAAAATAAGTCAATCAAAGACATGTATCATATGACCTCACTGATAATGAGGAATTCTTAATCTCAGGAAACAAACTGAGGGTTGCTGGAGTGGTGGGGGTTGGGAGGGATGGGGTGGCTGGGTGATAGACATTGGGGAGGGTATGTGCTATGGTGAGCGCTTTGAATTGTGTAAGACTGTTGAATCACACACACCTGTACCTCTGAAACAAATAATACATTATATGTTAAAAAAAAAAAAAGAAGAAGATAGCAGGAGGGGAAGAATGAAGGGGGGGAAATCCGAGGGGGAGACGAACCATGAGAGACTATGGACTCTGAAAAACAAACTGAGGGTTCTAGAGGGAAGGGGGAGGGGAGATGGGTTAGCCTGGTGATGGGTATTGAGGAGGGCACGTTCTGCATGGAGCACTGGGTGTTATGCACAAACAATGAATCATGGAACACTACATCAAAAACTAATGATGTAATGTATGGTGATTAACATAACATAATAATAAAAATAATAATAATATGCACCCAGGAGTGCAAGAGACAACCTCACAGTTTGAAAGAAAACACTGACATTGGCATTTGGCATTAGGTATTAAAAAAAACTGTGATTTCTAAGCTGCCTTCCAACTTAAAGATTGGGTATTTTTGGGTGATGACTATTGCAAATTAATGATTTGTTTGATTAATAATATTTCATTTAGCACTTATGTGGCAAGTCCCATGTTAAGCAATTGATATGTATTATATACTTGAATTCTCACACAACCCTATTAAGTGGATTCTGGGGTGTCCTCTTTTACAGATAAGGACGATGAGATTTAAAAATGTTAAATGAATTGCCCAAGTGAGCTGCAGAACTATTTGTGGGATTCAAACTCACATCTAATTCTAGAGCTCATAACCTTAATTTGCTTAGTTTGTTATACTGACTCCCCTGTGACTCACTTATTAGTTTAATAACAAATGATAGTGTAGTGTATCAAAATAATGCTTGTTCTATCTGTCTTTATAGGAAAACTAGACCTTTCCAGCTGATGCTGTAGTTGAAATACATAAATGAGATCCCTAACTTTTATAGTTTTGAAAGGCGATATAGTATTAGAGTCAATTCAGTTCTTTTAGGAATTCTGATAACCAGTTTCTCTTAACAAGTCAAATGCCTTTTTTCAAGATTTAAGTCATTCTTCTGTATAAATGTGTAAAAAAAATAGTTTATGTATAACTGCAAAAAATATTGACTTTAATATTTGGTTATTCTCTATTCAGAAGGAATTTTGCAGGTTTACCAGTTATATTTTATTTGGTTATAGATGTACCTATTAAATTCCTAAGTGATAGTGCTGCATTTGTGTTTGAATTATGGTCTAAATTTGAATATCCACTGATGAATATTTGGAAATTTTATTAAAATTTACCATTTCTAGAAAGTTGTCAAGTTTAACAGTGAATGTTTTTGTTTAATTCTAGGGGGAAATTTGCAGTGGTGAGGAAATGTATAAAGAAAGATTCTGGAAAAGAATTCGCAGCAAAGTTCATGAGAAAAAGAAGAAAAGGTCAAGATTGTCGGATGGAAATAATTCATGAGATTGCAGTTCTTGAACTAGCACAGGACAATCCATGGGTCATTAATTTACATGAAGTCTATGAAACTCCATCAGAAATGATCTTAGTTCTGGAATAGTAAGTATTGTTTTCCTTAGATAAAGTTTGTTTGATAGTCCACACTTTATAGGATGCTAGTCATCTGTGATATGTTGTTGCAGCCTGGCTCTGGAAATCTGAAGACTTTCCAGAACTTTTTCATGTGTTTCTCTTTTTAATTCGGAAAACACCAGATTAATAAGAATGCATGTATATTAGACTTTTTATTTTCATTCTTTAATGAAATTCTTCTGATAGTAAAGTTCTCTTATGTTCTTATTAGAGGCATTCTTCAGAAAGTAAGTGGTAACACGGTAATACTAAAATAAGAGACATGTTACAATCCCTTACATGTTCATATAGTCTGAGTTAATAATCTCCCTTCTTTCAGAAACAATTGTTTTGATTCATACCATGTTTTCATTTGAGTAAGTAGAGACTGTATAGGAAACAGCTTTGGAAAATGAAGTTTTTTCTTCTTAAGAAATCCTGTTTTCCTCTAGTGGAGGGCAGCTCCAAGGAGTTGTACAAAATGGACAGTTTTTCTAGGAAGGAGGGTGTGGCAAAAAGTTATTAGCAAAAGAAAAGAAAGGATTGTTTCAGGCAAGATCGCCTTCCCTTGTGGGAAGGGCAGGGGGTCTTATTAGGTGGGATTACCTCATCTTCTTTTGGGGGGATGGATAGGGCCCATGTGAGATTCCTCACTGATGTTGGTCAGAAATTTTCTGACTGACTGGTTAAGACTTATACTTCTGAGGGCGGTTGAAACTGCGGTGAGCGTAGGTATTAATTAAGCCCCAGTTTGGGGATTTGGTCTAAGTGATACCATTTTGGGCCTGTGCTTTTCTTTTTAACAGATATGAAGAGAAATTCCACATAGACATACATATATATAAATGGCCTATATGTACATGAAAAATATTGATTCTTATGATTTTTATAATATAAATTTGAAAATAAGTTTTCAATTTCCCCTTATAAGAGTGGCAAAAATCATAAAGAGAAAATGATATTCATGGGCTGAACCATCAGATTTATATTACGGGTGGGAGTATTCATTGGTGCAACTTTCCTAGAGGACAGACTGGAGTTATGTATCAAAAACTTAAAAAAAAAAACCCCACAACACTCTTTAATCCAGCAATTTCACTTACATATTTTTTCACAAGGCAATAATCAGGCAGTTGGGCAAAGATGTGTTAGAAAATATTTAGTGAAGTTTTTTTTTTAATGTAGCAAAAAAGAAATAACCTAATTGTTCAATAGAGAGGGGTTGGTTGGTTAAGTAAGTGATAATGTCACAAAGTGAATTACTGTGCAGTCATTTAAAAAAAGCTAAGGTGGATCTAAATGTTTCGACATGGATTTTTTTTTAATATTGTTAAAAAGAAAAAAGTTAAAAAATGTGTGTAGTATTGTTTTTAAAAAATTTAAAAATTTGTAGAAAGCAAATTCTGGATGGCTAAAATAGTGGTTTCCTCTTGATAATTAACTCAAGAGCATCGTGTTCATAAATTTTAATTCCATAATTTCACTTCTAGGAATCCCTTCTAAAGGAATTATAAAATGTGAACAGTGAGAAGTACGAAAGTGTTTCACACAGGGTATTTTTAATTATAATCGGAAAAATATTAAAAATGGGATGGGTAACAAATGTAGTATATGTGGATCATACCTGAATAAAGTTGTTTTCTAACTTAAAAAAAAAAAAAAAAAGCTGGTTTAGGAATCTCATATATAAATGCCCTGCCTACCTAGGTTTTTGGTTTCCAGTTTGTTTTGGAGAGGATCAAGGCAGAATTAGAAGTTGATTCTAGAAAAGACTTTGTGAAGTATTATTCTCTGACCAGATTCCTCTCCTGTTCTCACCAAACCTGCTCTTCAGCCTTTAATCCTGAGCTCTTCTCAGGTCCCCTGTCTTTCAGCCAGCCCCTGCCTTTTTTCTTTCCCATGATTCCCTTTCTTCTTCAGTAGTTAGTTTGGCTGACCTCTCGCCAGCACCTCGCGTTATTTCCTTCTTCCTCCTAGTCTTCCTCGGCAAGTCCTTTGGCCAGTTTGGAACCCCAGCCTGTGCTTCCTCCTGCACACTCGGGGAAGATTTGTGTCATCTTTGACCTGCTTGTTACAAGGTGAAGGGTCCTCAGATGGGCTTTCGCTGTCGTTGGGTCATTCTTTACCTAATCTCTCATTCTTTTAATGTGTCGTCCCCACCCCCACCC